TTTTTACATGGGTTTTATACAATGAATGAAAGAGAGGATAATAGAAAAACACTTAAATGTTTACATGAGTTTATATATAATAAGATTATTTATCTTTATTACAAAGAAATCACAATTGCTCTAGCTATTGGGATGAAAAGTTGGAGAATTTTTCTTTTTGAACTTTAAGTCTTGTAAATCACATACTTATAACCACTCAATTTGAAATTTGAGGGACAAAAATAATTGTAACGTCCTCTTATCAAAAGTAAATAATCCATTTGCATACTTCTCCTTTTTACACACCTGCACAAATCAGTTCATGGGGTTGAAATACGAGTGGAGAGGGTAGTTTTGAAGGATTCCAACCATTAAAGATCTAAAAAGTTATGAGTTATTAACGGAGATTTGAGGGTTAGAGTACATATTATATCGTTTAAAAAGGTCGTTTTTTCCATGAGAATGTAGGTGAAATAGAGCCGATTTTCGGTGGGCGCTTGAATATTGGGTGACACCAATGCTTTAAAACCCGGTGATTGGTGATTTTTGATCCAAGCTGAATAAGTTGGAACCAATCCGATTCTAGAATGGTATGGATCCCGATACAATTCTTTTAAAACTCCATCTTTCTTTTCTTTTTTTTCTTTATGTTTTTTTTTCTTATTTTTTCTTAATTTAACTGCCATTCTCTTTTATCTCTTTTTCTTCTTTATGTTTTTTTTCTTTATTTTTTTTTAATTTAACCGCCATTCTTTTTATTCCATGCCCGTGGCCAAAAAACCGTCATTTTATTTTTGCACATACATTTCCATTTCCATCTATAGGTGTGTCATTTTATTTTTGCATATATTCATTTCTACTTTTTTAGGTGTGTCATTTTATTTTTGCACACATTCATTTCTATTTTTTTCCTCTCTATATTTCATCGATAAGTGTTTTCTCTAAATTCTACTTTTACTTTCGTTCTATATTCCATCTATAAGTGTACTCTCTAAATTCCACTACTACTTTCTCTCTCTAAACTCTACAACTCCACAACTCGATTGGTTGCACATCAATTTTTTCCATTTCTACACTCTCGAGGTCACATCCATTTTTACATCTCTCTGTCCCCAATTTGATTTGCAGCCCTTATCTAAATCTATCAGTTCTCATATAAAAATAAAAATAATAATTGATAATCAATGAGAAATTATAAAGCACAGCCATAATAAAAAATTTGAAAGCTCAATTGAAATAAGATATTTCTTTGATCTACTTCTAAATTTTATACTGCAATTATCAAACTTTCTAGTTTAGAAATCAAACTTCTTTCCATTTTTTAACTAATACCATAAAGATTTTGAATTTGGTATCATAAATTTATTGTTTATTTGAAATTATATAGAAAGACATTTGAAAGACTTCTATAAAAAATAAATAAATAAAAAACTTAACACAATAAAATCATGTTATTCTAATCATATTATTCTAATGACTTATCATGTTAAAACCAAAGTATGTTAGAAAGCACTTAATTCCATGTAAATGCCAAAAGCACGCAAAATAAATAGGAAATTTTGTCTTGACGACCTTAGAATGGTACAAATTACTATTAAAAAATATTTTTGCAATAGTGTGATGATACCCTTAATTCCGCATTTAAGTAGAATTTTATGACAAAAAAAGTGAATATGATAGTTTATAGACAAGTGCTAGTAAAATGTTGGTAATGCATTTCCCATTTCTTTTAGAAAATAGTATTTTTCAAAACGCATCTAAATACTATCCAAACAGCAACAATCCATTTGTAGATAATGTATTACGTCAGTAATATATTTCACAGACAATATATTTCTAGGTATCCAAACAACCCCTTAGAAAAATGCGAAAAATTAGAATGGGTTTTGCATCGACATATAGATAGCAGCCAGAAAAAATAGTGGTTTTCTTTTGTTGTATAGATTGAAAAAGTGAGGACCAATATTTTCTATCTTCGATCAGAGAAGGAACTTTAATGGCTATTCAATGAAGGGCGTGGTCCATGACATAGAAAATAAATCAATGAACAGTATGCGATGGGGAAAACATTTCCACAAAACGTTTTTAGTTTTGGCAATAAAAACAATCTCAATTTTCACCTACAAAAATGAAGTTCAACAAATAACAAAAAATCGCGAGTACTAAGTTCAATTGACTGTGAGGCTGCTTCTCTTCGTCTTGGAGCAGAGAGAAGTTAACTTCAATGGTGATTCAATGGGGAAGAGTGTGTTACATGACAGAAAATAAATCAGAAATCATTTTCACAAAAAAAACTTTTTTGCTGTTGGCAACAAAAACAATCTCAATTTTGAGTCAAACCCAAAATCGAGATAGATTTCCGGCTGGAAATTATTTCCGCCCCCGTTTCTAGATCCAAATGAAGGAAATGGCAACAAAAACAACCTCAATTTTGAGTCAGACCAAAAATCGAGATAGATTTCTGGCTGGAAATTATTTCCGCCCCCGTTTCTAGATCCAAATGAAGGAAATGGTCAAAGTTCCTAAACTTCCTGGAAAAATATTCTTTGCAACACCTTTCCAGGGATGCAAATGCGCCCTTAGGTTATACTTTAAGGCAAATGAGTACACCTTTGAAAGCATAAAATCATACATGTAGCATCCAAACATATGCTAAACACATACTCATAAAAGCAAACTCCATATTCATGAAAACAAGCTCCATATTATCAAGAGTTTATGTCCAGGGATGCAAATGCGCCATTGGGTAATACTTTAAGGTAAATGCGTGCACCTTTGAAAGCATAAAATCGTACAAGTAGCATCCAAACATATGCTAAACACACATATTCATAAAAGCAAACTCCATATTCATGAAAACAAGCTCCATATTATCAAGAGTTTATCTCTTGGGTGCCATACGAGATGTAAAGAGGTTCACTATCAGAAGAGTTTTCGAGGCTACAACTTATCCCAGTGAAAGCACAAAAAGAGAAGAGAGTATCCCTCTCCATATGATGCAGCAAGGGGCATGTAGGTTCAACTAAGCCAAGCTACTAGTAATACCTGCCATCCCAATGCACCAACCAAGATGGAAATTCACCCTTCCTGGTGCAGCTCCTTCAAGAAATCTGAGTGGTCTACAAAAACCTGAAAGCCAAGAAAAGATGAAGACATTGTGCAAGATGGAAACAAGTTCAAAGACGATATGATATCAAATTCTGTAAAAAAAGTTTTATTTTCTGAACTAACAGGACCAGTCAGTATCGAATAATTAACTAACATCAACCTAGAAAACAATCATTTCAGACGTGTTTTTAACAAATAGTACTCTGAATTGTATAGCAATTCACATTGCTAATCAACTTTCAATGTCTATGCATTTTCTCTGTTTGAATTTGAAAAGAATCAATACCAGGCATTTTCCCTCCGTTGCTATGGTAGTTGTCCTTTAAACATTGACAACAATAGCATGCAAAGGAAGAAAATGGTGAATGCTCAACAACCATTGACTGCTCTATCCGTTTAAGTTCTTTTAAAGTTCACCAGAAACTCAAAACAGGAAGTTAGAAACAACGGCAGGCTCACAAAATACCAGAACAAGTTTATCCTACCATTTCAAGATTATGAAGGGCATTTCTATTTGAACAAGTTATGTATGAGAACTATTACATATGCTACAATTTGTACGATTGGCAACCCCAATTTCAAGACAAGAAGAAGACAACTAGCTTTGCATGGCATTTTGGAGAGTCAAATGACAAAGAGCATACAAAGCAAGAACACTTGAACACAAGTGAAAACTCACCACTTTCCATCCATCTGGATCAAGGAAAGATGTAATTTTGGTGTTGATTCCAGGAATGGGCCCTGGTTCCCGGGTTATCTTCCCTCCAAGTTCTTGGGTTACCAGTCGAATTGCTTCAGCAGACTTGTATACATCTTCCGTACTAAGAGCAATCTTCACAGGAACAGTTATTAATATCAGAAGATTCACATCATTCCAGTGGTGGTAATCTAAATCAGTAACAAAAAACACTCTTGAAACAAGGTTAGGAAAAGATATGACACAAAATGATTTGGGCTTGAACTTGCTTGGCTTAAGGCATTGAGGATTATAACACAGCACCCCCACGTTTGGATCCTAGGGCTGGGCTACCGATAAAGAAAGGGATATCACACCTGTGCATAGGCATTTCCTTTAGTGTACTCAGTCACACCATAATTGTATGTCAACTCCAGAACTGTTGTCTCCTTCTCCTCAGCATACCCCATCATAGCTAGTGTGTACTGCATGGATCATTGAACAGAAGGAACATTTTTAACATGGCATTGGCAAAGTGAACTAACATTGAAAAAATATCTCTGATACAATTCTCATGGCTTCAAACATCGTTTGTGGCTTCTGATCTAATTGGGGGAACAATAAAATTGTTAAGTGATACCTTGCGAAACCACATTGCAATCATTTTGAAGTATTGGGAAGTAGTAGGGTACCTTGTAAGCAGGGTTATCAGATATCCTCAATAGCTTCATTCCACAGGCCTGCAAGAGCAAAATGCACCAGGTCACCAATGAGTTATAATGACTGCCTTGATTCTGAATCACAATGTCGTCAAAAATTACCAAGAAGCTTGCGGAAGTGAGAGAAACATGGATGAAAACAGTAAATGAAACCTTCAAAAAGATATATTTACAGCTTGTATGAACAATGAAGAGTTGGTTTCCATGATTTCTATGGATGCAGATCCAATCAAAAGCAGAACTGAGTAACAGGATGAAATTTATAGAACAAGTTTTGGGGCTTGTATTAACAATGCTGAGTTGACCAGCGAACAAGTTTTGGGGCTTGCATTAACAATGCAGAATTGAGCAGTAGCAGCAGCTGCAGCAGTAGCAGTAGTAGTAGCAGCAGCAGCGAACAAGTTTTGGGGGTTGCATTAACAATGCAGAATTGAGCAGTAGCAGCAGCTGCAGCAGTAGCAGTAGTAGTAGCAGCAGCAGCAGCAGTAGTAGTAGTAATAATAATAATAATAGTATTATATTATAATAACAATAATAATATAAGTAACAGCAATAGTAAACAAACAACAGCAACAACAACAAACAACAACACATGACTGGGAAGACAAGTTAAAGTAGCTAACTCAATCCTCCACTCTCTAATATAGTCTTAGTGTTTTTGAGGGCAAGTCCCATGCTAATACTAGTGTAGATACTAAGGAGAGGGTTCGTGGGGTGTACGAGAGCCTTATTGCCAATGGTGAGCCCGATGTATGGGTTATGTGAAGCATAGTGTGGGGATCAGGAGCGGTAATGGTACCGGAATAGGGATCGGGAGCGAGGGATTGAGAAATGCTAGAAGATCCCAATGGTTGGGAACGACGTCCATACAATGCACATGTTAGTGATCGAGATCCCCAAATGTTAGGGATCAAGATTCCAACCTTTAGGGGATCTTCATCTCGACCTTTTGCGATCTTGATCCCAACTTTTTGGGGACCTTGTTACCAACCTTAAAGTGTGATAATCTAGGATTATGTATACTCCTTAAAGTAGGGATCTCATTATTGATAGTAGGCAAGCAATAGTTGTTTTGCTAGTTGGCTACAAATAAAGAAAATCATCCGCTTGTTGCCGTTGTCTTTAAAGGATGGAATCAAGATCCCTAACAGTAGGAATCGAGATCCCTATGAGTGGGGTTCGAGATCCCAAAATTTTAAAAATCGAGATCTTGAGAGATGCGTTCTAGGAGCAATAGAATTGAGATCCTAGAACGGTTCACCTACCAAAGGAAAAGAAAACAAAAACAAAATGATGACCATTGTACATTGTGAACGTGTACTGTCCCGTACACAGTCCATGCTGCACGACTATAAACTGCTTGGTAGGGGCCATGGCCTAGCCCTCGGGCTATAGTTTGTGGCCCAGACTTTAGTTTTTTAGGGCTGAGCCGACCAGACCATTGCCAGCTCTAGCTCCTGCAGAATAAGCTTTCTTGACGATGTATGGGCAGTCCACTTAGGCTGGATGAAGTCAACTTCCAACCTTCCTATATAAAGCACAAGCACAACCCTTCCCTACCAAAAACCAAAAAAGAAAAAGAACAAAATCATGAAAACGATAGGGAAGTTGGCCCTTGGGATGATCAGCCTTTTATCCCTAGTGTAACGTTTACCCATTGAGCAATGGCCCTTCCACTCGGCACCGTCGGGCCACTAAGGCTGACTTTCATTGAACTCGAATCTGTGCACCTCAAGAATAACCTATAGGCCTTCGAACGGCCATGACATTTCGCTCGTGACTTGACAACAACAACAACAATAATAATAATAATCTACTGTTGCAATAACCTACGTAAGATCATCCAACAGGTTTGGGATCAAGTAAATAAACATTTAGTTTTAAAAAAGTGCAGCAAAGAGAATCCAACTCAAACAGGATCCTCACAAGGGGGAATAATGTGATCTCTCCAATTCCGCATTTACCGTAAGCCCAAAACCCTGAAAACTTAAATTATCAGCTCATTTTGTAAACATGAACATTGTCAATTATGATCTATCAAATTATCATATGAAAAACTAAAGTCCACGAGATTTTATACAGTCTTCAACTTGATTACATGAATTTGTTCAGGCAATTTGCTGGCTTTTACTGTTTAGGAAATCATCAAGGTGTTTCCCATAATGCTTTTTGAATCTAGGTGTTTTCCATATGCACAGAGGTTATATGCACTAAGCTTCATGAGTGTAATAAATCTAGGGAGCTTACTTTTTCATAGAACTTGATAGATCGGTCCAAGTCTCCAACACGAAGCATAACGTGACAGAGAGGCTCAGGTGTAGGACCCCTCTGAATTAGCTCAAAAATGTAGCCATCCGGATCTTGCGCAAAAGCTATGAAAGTTGTCCCTCCCTTAACAGGACCAGGTTCCCTAGTTATCTTTCCACCCTTTGCCTTGATATCTTCCACCAATTTATATACCTGTTTATGCAAGTGAGTCACTTCTTCACAGAGTACAGAATTCTCTGTTACCTAACCACAAAATCATGGGATGAATTTTAAAACAATAAAATGTAAAATTTAAAGCAATACACACATCTTCCGTTGCAATTGCAAAATGTCCAAAGCCTTTGCCAATATCATACTTATCCACTCCATAATCTGCAAAAGTAAAAGGACTTCAGATGAAGGAAAACAAAAAAGGAAAACATTCTAATCCCAAATTTCACTTGGTAAGACAGTTGCTTATGGCAATATTCCTATTTTCAAACATGGAAAAGCGAGCACCCCTATGCACCACATCACATACACCCACACACCCACCTACATACACACCTGCATGCACACACACCCGCATATAAGAAGCAACGCTAAGGATAGAAGCCTACTATAAGTCAGCTCCACCACGAAATGTGATTCTTCAGGCCCAAATCCAAGAAAGGCATTTGAATATTTCTCTTCAGGAATATCTCTTTTCCTCAAAAGCTTCATCCCAAAGCACTCAGTGTAAAATCTGGTAACATTTACAAAAGAACAGTTAATGAAGGAAACCATCATTCGGAAAATTCATATTGTGGTGTACTCTTTCTACTAAGTAGAATAACTCAGAAGCACAGAAGTAAAGAAGGCCCACTTTATGGTCCTATCCAAATCCCCAACTCGATAAACAGCATGTAGAAACCGGTGCTTGTCTTTCTTAGGCCATTCTAATACATTCTCACTAGAAAGTCCTGATTCAACTTCCGTTCCAGTAGCCATATCCTAAAATGTTATTCTCCCCTGCTCCAATTCATACAAAGAGGTCAACTGCAGTATTTGGACTGGGAAGGAAAAAACCAAAACCAAAATAGAACCAGCCCCACAAAAAAACAAAAAAAAATAAAAAATAAAAAATAAAACATAAAACTCCACCTTAACCGTAAAACCAAGAACAGCTTATAAAACATTGCTTCTCCACAAATCAGACTTGGATTTTGTGAAACCAAAAGCATGAAGAACATGTTGTGGAGACAAATTTTTCTTGCACAAGATAATACCACAAGTTCCGAATCCAGACACTCATGCAAAAAGGAATTACTCACACATATATTCATGGAAAAAAGTGCAATACCTGCCATTAAGTAACAATAGAATAAGATATTAAGACATTCATTTCCTGTTTATACAGCTCTTATAAAAAATCTAAGAGAAGATCCATATATCTAACAGGGAAAGGAACACTAGAGCAGGCAATGTATCTTCATATCAGCTTGTCTCGTTCATTTCGGCTCCAACAATTGTATAGGCTTTTGGTTGACCTGCCCGCAAGCCTGCAAAACAAGAATCCCCATGGTAGACTATCTTTGGCACAAGGTACACCAATTCCTAAAATGCAAAATGTATGCCACACGGAACTTAAGTTTGTGGATCATCTCCTAATTCACTGCTGGTCTTCATGGGAGTTGTGGTCTCCTATCCTTGGCATCTTTGGGATAGCAAGGGCGATTCCCCATACAATAGCAACTTTGATATTGTACTCTCCCTTTTTCTGGAGATTATGTCCTTTGGCTAGGCTATGGGTGCATTTGGAAGGGACAAAAAAATGAAATTTTTTAAAGTAAAAGAGTTGAAGGAACAACTCTACTGGAGATCTGAAAAATGGTCACAATTTGGGCACTTGCTTTAACAAACCTTCAAAGTGATTAATTTCCTTAGGGATAAAGGTCGTCGTGTTCCCATCAAAGATTAGTAGTAGGATGAGCCCAAGGTAAAGCCAAGTTCCATTGAAGTTTAAAGGCAATCCAGGACCGAAGGGTATTATAGTTAAAAGCTTCTTCAAGGATGCTTAGGACATTGCCGTCTTCCGGACCTCTGAACTTTTGTAACTCATACTTGCCAGATGCAAGGGCCCTTCTTACAAGGTTGCAACTTTATTCTAAAGGGGTGGAGAACCCAATAATCATTGAAGGGGATAGTCTTAATGTAATATGGTGGGCCAAGGGGAGTCTAATTCTCGTTAGATACTGATGCTCGTGTTTGATGAGATTCTACAGGATCCTGCGGACCTCTTTTTTTCCTATATTTTTTGGAGAAGCAAATGTAGTGACAGCACACTAGCTAATGAAGGTGTATCAAAGGAGGCTCTCCCCATATTGCGGCTGACCATCTAGACTAACAAAATGTTGTTTCCACATCTCTCTGAGATGCCTTTAACTTGTATACGAAGCATATAATCTTCTCAATAAATCAGTGCAACCAATCAAATAATCAAGGACGCATGGAAGAAGCACCTGCGAAGAGAGTAAATGCTGGTGAAACCCAAAGTGCTAAGAGGTGAGGAGGTTGACAGGACTATGGGTCCAATAAGAGCTTCTAGTTTTCTTCTTTACACATTGAGTATTAATGCACCAAAAGGCAACAATGGAAGTGGTCTAGCAACGGAAAGAACACTCTATAGTTTGAGTATCTCACTGATGTTGCACTTAATTATACTACAGTTCATGTGGAGGGCGATAACAACTTCCATCCACATCCATGTGCTTTTGGAGTACAATGTGAAAGAAGGATATTAAAATGATCTCATTCTTGATTCCAAATAAGTTACTTCAAAACGATGTACATATTGAACAGAGCAAGACATCAAAATACCCTCTAAGATTTCAATATTTCCTTACTCAAAAGTCAACATTATGAGCACAGCATAACTTCCATTACTTTGCAACTTTTTTTTTTTTTGAAAAGGTAACTTTGCGACTATTCCTCCAGCATGTCACAATGACCGGCCTTATTTACCACATATAAAGGACGGCATGCTGTTCACTTATTCCATATGTTATTTAGACACCCTATATTACTTAGACATTGAAACAAGTGTTGGTTTCAGATATGTTTTCAAGGCGCTCAACATTGCAATCTCAAAAATTAGAAACTCGGAGAAACACCTGTACAGTGAGATTTAAAAAATTTAAAATTTTAAAAATAAAAATAATTATAGAAATATGCAAAATTTGCATTATAATGATCAAAATAACTCAAAGGAAAAATAAAAGTATTTGGAAGTGGATTAGAATGATGAAACAGCATGTAAAAAAGTATGGCCTGAACACAAGAATGTAAAAAAAAGTAGGGATTGAAACCAAGATGTTCTATCAAAGCAATACTGCCATACCCACTAACCTGAGGACCAAGCTCATAATTTATGCAGCACTATTACCATATTCATACGATTTCTGGAACTGAAAGTATTGTTTCACACTTGGAAACAATTTTGAAAAGTCAGGCAGTGGCCAGTTCAGCATTTCTGGATAACATAGCTTAACCCACTTCATTAGCTAATGTCATTGACCTTAGGTCCAACCAGGTAGGGTGTTCAGAGATGAGCAACCCTTGATCATAGTATGCTACTTTCGTACCCCTAATATGTAAGCTACCCCTAGTAGCTATGTTCTCAATTCATCTCATATGATACTTTTTAACCCAGTCATCAGATGTTTTAGGCATACCTTGAGTCCATTAGAAACCAAAAATCCTCCTAAAGATGCTACATCTCAATCATGTTGCAAGCCAGATCGCATACAAGTAGTTACAACCATTAGAACTGAAGCTGCTAACCAAAAAGTGGAGACAGAATCATTCTCTCCAGAAAAAGAAACTAAACCATAGCTTTTTGACCATACAATATATAGTAAATTGAGATCCATTGAGTAATAGATGCACGTATAGGAGACCAGTTGCCATGCCAACCTAGTCGTTAAGAATAATGACTATATGTCCAATTAGTCTACAACGACCAAACAAATAAATAACTTATGATCAAATGACCTAATAAATTCCATGGAGCAGTGAGACAAACTCTGATATTGTGGATGTTTGACATTACAAACAATAGATAATCTGTTTACTTTTACCTTCTTTCCAGAGTGCCAAGATCAATTTCATTCAATATAGTCCAAAAAAAAACAAGTTCTTCTGTATTAATCCCAGATGATGAGATACTGCAAATTAAAATATTTTAACTTATAAAAACGACATCTCGGCTTGAGTGGTCACGGGTAACAAGGATGACACAATATTACGCTTAGAGTTCCATTCCTACTGAAAAAAAACAATTCTAATTCGTTTTGCTTCTATCAGTTAAATAACAAGTACAAGCTCTACAAAGTACAGAATCAGGATCAAGTCCATTTTATAAAGAAGAGCTTCCATATGATCAACACACTAATTTTAAGGCCACAATTTATTAATTAACAAAAGAGAAGAATAATATTGCAAGCCCCAGATAATAATTAGATTAACTTGTCCATAAGAAATCAGTATACACCTAAAGCCGACAACATATGAAATTATGAATCTAGGGCCAAGTTTGTATGATGGATCATATAGAGAAATATATGCTCTCTTACTAAATAAGGGCTACATAGTCGTTTTATGAGTTATGTTAATGAAAAACAGTATCCATAGATTAAGCAACATCAATGCATAAAAATGTAAAAATATTAATAAAGAATCAACATGTTATCTACCAAGAACAACAGCTTCTTTAGGAGAAAGACCAACTCACACAAAAGATTTGATGCTTATTAGTACGTCATTTGAAACCCATAAAGGAAAGTCATACCCATTATAACATCAGCCGAATGCTGGTGGCAAACTAAAGTGCATATAGTTGATGGTTTCTAAGAAACATAATCTATTTGCAGCACGAAGCAGAATATTTTTCAGTAAACAGTGTATCTTCCTTTCCCAGATAAAAGCGAAGATAAACGAGACTGCTTAAATAAGTCATGCACATGAAGCACTGAAATAGAATTCTGAGAATCGAAATAATATAAATTTCAAAAGCACTTCTCTGCGACTCTCTTGAGAAAATCAGATGAATCAGATCTCACTGGTAGTAGGTAACAGAAAACAATTTAACATGCAGATATTATAAATAACATTATCAACCTATCACCAATGCTGCTCTTCATTACAATGGCCAATCAAATCCACATGTAAAACAGGTGATCACAACTCAAAAATAACGACCAACAATATCATCACTTAAGGGATTACCTAAAGATAATAAAATGATAGCAGTATCAAATAAGACTCCAAAGAAGGAGATTGATGAACACATCAACACCGAAGTATCTAACCCAATAATCCAGCAGTTCAAGTGATCAATAATCAGAAACAAGCCAAGAATCCCCATAATATTACAAATAACAATCAGCCCGACGGTACTTTTGCTTCATGGCGTCCTCAACAAACGCATAAGAAAATCCAATTAAATATTTACGAAACTGCTTCTCCCGAATCATTAGTATAGCAAGCATAGTTATGACAGATGTCACTCTTTAACTTTTATAAAAATCCGAATCAGGATTTCACCGTTGATCACATCAATTACTTCACTTCATTTGCAATGTAGGAAGATAATCTATAACGAAAACTGGAAAAAAATGCAAATCCCATACAACAAAATAACGCATCGCAAAAAAATGGATTAGAGAATGCTAGAATGAGATATGATCGAAAAAAAAATAAAAAAAAAAGAGAGAATTATAACAAATGAAATTATAAGCAACTTTGAATTATAACAAATGAAATTATAAGCAACTTTAACAGAAGCACACAAACAATGTGAGGAGCGAAGCAATACCTAGAAAGAGCGCGAATTAAAGAGAGCTTACAGTGAAGATGAGAAAACGGAGAGCCCTAAAAAGAGCAGTGATGTGCTGTTCAGCAAGGCGCGGTGGGGTGGTACACATATAGAAAGCAATCAGATTCATGAATAGAGCCCGCAAAGTTGCAAACAACACCTGCACATCTTGCGTTTGATGATTGGCACGCGCAAGCAATTCCAATCTTTGTGGGGTCACCCCTCTCTAAATGGACGGCAGGGATTTACATTGCCTTGGGATAGTGCATTAAGGCAGATGTGAGACACTGGAAAGCTCCCCCCACTATTGGCTGATATTTTAATAGGCGAATATTTATTTTTTGGCATAAGGTGATAATAGTGCACAATCAAAATGAAATGTATTTTGCTTAATTATGTAGGGAAAAGGTTTATATAAGGATGCTATCTTAAATTGAAGAACTACGGATGCCCCTCAAAAATCTGTCGGAAAAGGTAGTTTTAATATTGAAAAACCCTTTGATTGATCATCTCGACATCGAGATATATGATTATGAAAAATAAAAAGATTAAGTATCAGAAATAGTACATTTTACAACATATTATCTACAGTGTCCATTTTCAAATTTTCATATGTTTATAGATCTACTTGATTTTAACCTTTTTTTAAATTTAAAATTTTATAATTAGATATAAAAATAGATTTTGTGATAATCCTAATAACATTTTACATCAAAATTATATAGCATGATAAAATTTGAAGGTGTATCTTACCTCTACACCTACAGATGCATTCGTATGCCAACTGCACCCATTATGTAGATTTGGTGTTGGAAACTCTTACGATGACTTGAAAATTCTGTTCTTAAGCTCGAAAAATATACTGTTTGAGCAAACCTATGAACACAAATTTTTGAAGAAGGGGTCTAAATAGAATGGTGCAAGATGTACTATTTTAGGCACTTGAAATCTTTTTGTATTTGATCATATATATCAAATATCGAGGTTGAGAAGATCAATCGGAGGATTTTCTAACATTAAAAGAACCTTTTTTTTTTTTAGGGTTTTACAGTACACCATACCTCTTCTTTAGTATAAAATTAATGTCTTATATAAATTTTCTCCTAAAGTGGAGCATCTAGGTCAATATTAATAAGGTTGCAATCTTAAACATACAAAGGATGGTGTACCTCAAACTTTGTCATGAGAAATAATTTTGAGGTCGAAAATTCCTAGGATGGTATCTGCTATACATTTAAAACTCAAAAAATGGTTTAAATCAAACAGTTCTATAAATGCATGAAAATATTGAAAATAGACGGTCTGTATAATGTGTTGCAAGATGTACTATTTTTAAGACTTGAAATCCCTTATTTGTTTTTTTCCAGCATTAATATATCTCGATATCGAGATGATTAATTAGATGTTATTCCAACATCAAAACAACCATTTTCGAAATATTTTAGAGGTGCACCTTAAGTCTACATTTTAAAATAACCTTATATAAAAGTTTTCCTTATGTTACACAATCACGAATTAAAATTTAGAATTAAAATTTAGAGTCAGAGCACCAATAAACGAGCGACGCATATGAATTAATAATCACGAACTTTGCTTTATGATATGAAATAGTGGCCATGAGCTTTAGCTTTGCTCCGAAAGGCGATTGCTGCACGAAGTGTGAAGTCGACCTTTCCAACAACAAAAGATCATTACATGAAGGGAAAAGTTTATACAGAGCTTAGAAGAGGTTGTTTTGGTGCCCAAATATCTTTAAATTGATAATCTCGATCTCAAGATGCATGGACACAAGCCTTATCCTGAACTCGGGCCATAGTTTGTTGCCTGTTTCCCCTCCTTGCCAGCCCTACAGCCACAAAAGAATCTTGAGACCATTCCTCCTTTTAAATCTGCATAACTAGAAAGTTTTATGCGCTTGATTTACATCATGATAAAATCCACTTTTTTTTTTTTATTATTATTAATTTATTATCGCCAAGATAAAAGTAAATTATTGTCTTTCAATTATTCCTACAAATAACATGTGACCATGTCATTTAATAACAAATAACTTAAATCTATGTATTTATATATCTTACTAATTTTTTTTATATGACTTGGGGATGCAATGATTTATTTATATTTTATATTTTTCATTTTAGTAATATTAATATATTAATTTTATGAATACTATAATATTAGAGCTATTTATTGGTTTACAATATATTCCCCAAGGACATTTATTTCATTCTCAGTTTTAAAGGAAAATAACATACATATTTATTATATTTACTGTTATTAAGGGATTACTTTCAAATTTCCGTTATTACATCTATCTCCATTTTTTCAAAAAGCCGAACTGCCCATTTTCAGTTTTTTTATGTTTAAAACATTCAGGTTTTTAAAAACTGAGAAATGAGAGTTGGTTATTCAAAAACTAAAAATTAGCTAAATTCGGTTTCTCAAAAACATAATTTGTGTTTTATCTTTCAAAAATTGCAGGGAGAGCGTTTTCACAAAATAGCTAAATTCAAAAACCAAATTTATTTTGCAGAGAGTACTTTCCCTCACCCAAACCTATATATCGACTTGCAGAGCCTGGGAGAGCGTTTCTTTTGCCAAAGCAACAATGCACGCCATGGCTTTGGCTCCCCCCATACAAACATAGCCCCAAAACACTACATGCTCCTCTCTTTACTCTCTCTCTACCAAATGCAGCTCTGCTTTTTCTCTCTCCTCACTTTCTTCTCTGTTCCACCAAATGTACCTTTGTTGGTTCTCTCTCCTCACTTTCTTCTTCTCCCCCAGGCCCATGTTTTCTTCTTCTTCACTCTCTTTGCGTTCCATCAAGCTGACCGCACTTGCAATAATCATGTTCTGGACGAATGGGTTTTGAAAGACGAGAACACAAATTCGGTTGAACTAATCTTCAGTTTTTGAATAATCCAATAAGCTTATTTCTCAATTTTTGTTTTAAAAATTTCGGTTTTTAGAAAATCGAAAATGGACAGTTCCGTTTTTTTTTAAAATAAATAAATATTATGAAGTTGAAAAAATGGGTATAGATGTAATAATAGAAACTTAAAAGTAATTTCGTAATAAAAGTAAATATAACAAATACATACATTATTTTCTCCAATTTAATGACCTATACCAATAACTTTGTCATGGACAATGTTGTTATGGAAAGTGTATATTATGGACATTGTATATGGAAAAAATGGGTGTACTATTTTGTATTTATGGCAGTCCTGCTGTTCTATTGGTGTCCATGACATGTTTCTATTTATACAATCCCTTTTTTGTATATAGGAAATTGAGTTGGTATATTTAATAGGTGAGGTTTTTATAAGCTGTCAACTTTAAACAATCACAGTAAGGTGCACCTCAAAATCCTATTAAAAAAAAGGATGTATTTTTGGTGCCGAGATCTTATCATAGTCTAAAAGTTTGTTTTTGACCCCATATGAAATTAAAAGCTCCAAAAATGGCACAAATGTAGCAGATCTATGAACATTCAAAAAACTTGAAAATGGGCAGTGTAAGCAATGTGTTACAAGATGTAATATTCTTAGGACTTGAAATTTATTTGTTCTTTCATATTCATATATATTGGAGTCAAGATGATCAATTGGAAAATTTTATAGTGACAAAACAACCTCTTTAGATGGGTTTTTGAGGTGCACCTTACTCTACGGTAGAAGGTTGACACCTTATATAAATTTTTTTCATATTTAAAATATGACGAATATATAATGTTCTTTTCAGATAAACTTGACACTCTTTCATGGTATCGGAGCCACCAATCTACTCCGTCCATTGCTTGAGTCTGCTCTCGCCAAAGACTAATCATCTTCGACGATTAGGTTAATTAGTTCTTTGATCACTTCCCATTTCCCTTTGCCAAATCACAGTTATTTTTTGCTGCTTGTGTTTTCTTCTCTATTAGATACACATCTTAATGGTCATCATTCACAAAAAATCAGTAGAACTTCAGTCATTTATTTGCTTAACAATCATTTTCTCTCGCTCTATGCACCTCATTCATTGATTCGTTAGAGGTGAACTATTTCAAGAAGATCATTTAGCAAAAGTTACTTAGGAAAACCTTACTAGTGCTTCTGATAGTTTTGCTCCTGTACTTAAATCCATATTGACGGGGAATTGTATCTTCATCCTCCACTAAAGGACCAAGTGCCACATTCTACTCACATGAGACACTCACGAGGAAAGTTGAACCACTATTGGCTGAATTAAGGACACGGCCAAATAGTTGACCTGATCAATGTGAAAAACGAGTAAAAAAACAATAGAAGGGGAAGTAGACAAAAATTCATAAATGGTCACTTGGATTACTAACTCTATTATAACTTTCATCATTATACCTCTTGGGAAATAGGAAATTACTAACTCTATTATAACTTTCATCAATATACCTCTTGGGAAATAGGAAACTATTAGGAGGTTTTGAACCTCCTTGCTTCTTGGTACGTCCAAACCAACTTTGCTTAGAACTATAAGCTTGAGGTGGATGTCCAAGCTTTGAGGCGAAGGAAAGGGTATCGTCTCTAATTGTCATTCCCAAACTTTGGTCATTTAGGATTTGTTGGCCCTAATAGGGCCTAATTGACCAATGGATGTAGAAATTTATTATAAACATAGGACAGAGATGCACATAGCATGGTTTTTTTTATGCCATTACAAGATGATTTCGAGTTAATCTAAGCATCTATTCTCTATCACAATCATTTTCCATATGCTCCCTTTTGAGCCAATGACGAAAGAAACAAGGTATGGCACAATTGAATCTTCTTCATTAGATAGAAAATATATTCGTATAATTTGAATGCACCATCATCTATTCTCTATCACTCTCCTTTTATGTCATTTTATGCCACTCTTTTTAATCCAATGGCGAAAGAAGCAAGGAATGACACAATTCAATATTCTTCATTTGATATAAAATATACTCTTATAACTTGAATGCACCATCCTAGGATGGTATACAATCCTGCTCTACTTTAGTTGTGATTGGGAACCATATGGACATATCCAAAGTAAGATGCAATTTTTGAAAAGAACTTGGATAGGTGAAGTTGAATTGTCCTGCTAAACCCACAGCACCAAGCTTTACGGCAATATTTGCTCCATCTTAGACTATCTCATATCCAAGCCATGTCACTGCCAAA